ATATGTCAAGAACCAGAGCCCAAGTTAGATCTTGGTTATACTAATTTAAATCGAGAGTAATCCCAAGAAATCAATGTAATTGTTCTGGTGTAAGAGGAAGATCAGAGTCAAGCCCTTCATACTTTGGGCATCAAGTTGAAAATCATAATTAGCAAAGCAAACAAAATATTTAACATATCTACTAGGAAATGGCTTCCTTTTATAGAACTCAGTACAAAATAAGGAAGACAATTATTGAAGGATATAAAGTGTCTAATTTCACTTGCACCTATTTTATGTCTATGTACTTCACTGTCCTAAATGGAATTACTCCTGGTCCACAATGTTTTAAGCAGGAAGAGAACCCATGTTAGAGGCATCTTCCTCAGTGCTGAACCTCCCAGCTGAGCTAGTCTCTGGGTTTCAATTCTGAGTCTTTTTTTTCTCTCCACTCAGTACCATGGGACCATCCAGATTTCCTCAGCAGATGATTCTCTAGGTGGATATGGATAGGCTAGAGCTGTCATAGCCGAGTCAAACACCACCCATTGTGCAACTTCTGCTGTACGGGACAGATTGGACCAGAAGTGGCACAGTCAAACCATGCTCCACTCTGGCAATCCCTGACTAGTATATTACTCATACACCATGGCAGATGACTGGCAATATTTAGAAGAATAGCTAAAGAGATGTGCAGGGAGTGGTGGAATTGTTAAGGAAGGAAAAAACTCAAGGTAGCAAGAAATGCCAGCATCCCAGAAAGCCAGGGGGCAAGCAGCCATGGTAAGAAAGATAGAAAATTCCCATCCTCATGTGTACTGATAACTGGTGCTTTTAACTTGCTGTTTAAAATGATCACATATGATATATGCAACTATCTCCAGTTTCTTTGTTCATTATTTGCCTTCTAACTTAGCTGCAGACTAATACCATGTCCAATTCTTTGGAATTTGACTGAATACTGAAATTAAATACTCAATTTATGTACGTTTACTCTAAACAAACATTTTCTTTCATTTGTTAAATCCAGTACTACAGCAAAATGGAAACCACTTTACAAACTAATACAATAGTTTCCCACAGTGAATGTGTCAGCAAGATATCTATCATTACCAGATCACAAATACGTGTTCTGAGCTACACATTTTAATTTCAGATGCATTTCACTCAATGTTTGGTTTGAAATACTTTGATTTTATTTAGACCATTTTATTTAGACTATGTTGAACAAAATGTGTGCAACTTTCTTTTAAAATCCTTTCTATAATTAATCTGCCTTCTTCAAGAACTTCAGAGGGTAGGAGTTGGCCAGAGTTATACAGGATATGGTCTAGTGATTTAGTCTCAAACAAGTAATCATTAGTATTTTAATTAATCTTTTGTGAAACTTTTGTTTTGACTGCAAAATTAATTTTTAAATTATGTGCAGCAATACCAATACATATTCAAAAATAAGTGACTACATCTAAAGCAGCCAATCTGCAGCACAAGTGGCATAGGCAGGTTCTGTGTGAAGCATGCAACAGATCAAGGAGGGAGGGGACAGAAAGAATAGCAGCAAATCGGGCAGGAAAAAAATGCAAAGCTGGAGATCAGGCAGGAAACAGAGAGCAGGAAACAGAAAGCAGAGCAGGAGAGCACATGGTGGGGAGCACAGAGTAAGGAACAAAAAGCACAGCAGCAGATCAGGCAGAGGAAAAGGCTTGCATTGGCCCTCAGGAAGGGTGCACAGCTAATTTGTGGTATGCCTGCCAAAAAGTTTGGCCCCCATTGATGTAAATGAAAAAAGAAACCAAAAAAAAGATATTTCCCAAACTGTAAGACATCAATGACTGGTAAAAAGGTATAGATCCTACCCCCCCAATTACACTACAAATCCAATAAATCCAGAACAACTCTACTGACGTCAGATGAAGTGCCTTTAACTAAGGAAAGGAATGGAAATGAAATCACCTTCCAGTATCAAAGTGGTACAACCTTGAGATTTCTCAGTAGCAATTAGTGAATGCTATGTGACTACATCAGTATTGGAAGTACATATAGCAAAGAGATACTTTCCCTTCCCCACACAACAAACCTGGCATGTCGGATAGATGCAATTGCACTACTGAATTCACTATCGATGCTTCTACAGTTGTAAAACTCCTCATAGGCTGGCCTGGAAGAGCCTTGGTATTCAATGCGGCTGATACGGCATATCCCCACAATCAGAATGATCAGCATGAGAACAAATGCAACGCAGAGGGCACCGATTATGATATAAAGGGAATGACGAGGCATATTTGTTAGACTCTCCGCCATGTGCCCAGACTTCCACTGTAGATCTAGCAATAAAAAAAATAAAGTGATCATTAACATTTTTACATCCTTCC